CATCATGAAGCAATCGAAGCCCCAAACCCTCATCCTTCTAACCCCTCTGCAGTTTCCCCTTAGACAAACAGTCCTTAACAGGGATTCTAGCACCCCCCAATAATAATCCCTACTAAGGACTGTTAGTACAAGGGGGAACATCCCAACCCTTGCACCAAGCGGAAAGTCTTCAAGACCTGTGGGTGGTTGTCAAATTATGGTCCTTTTTGGGGTACCTTAAACATTAGGTGCCGTATTATAATAGGGATCCAAAAAGGAACCCTAAACCCTAAACCCTAAACCCTAAACCCCAATTTTGACAACCACCCCTGTCCTGAACCACTGGAGGCGGTGGATGTTCCGAAGAGGGAGCCTCCCAATGGACCAGGCAACCCATGGCTTCGTTGAACACTTCGCGAGATGCCAGTGGACCAAGGTTTAGGGTTTAGGGTTTAGGGTTTAGGGTTCAGGGCAACCCTAAACCCTCCTGCCTGCGCCAGTAGTTGCCGTCGAAGCTCCGAAAATTGAACCTCGCATCTCATTGTCTCCACTGGATTGTTTTTGGGGGGCGTTTGGGGCAGGAGCCTACGTTCGGATTCAAAGTGCAAGTGGGAGTTTCCGATATTACGGGGTTCCTTATTGGGGTCAATATTATAAGGGGATCCTAGTAATTGGGGACTATATTAAAGGGGGCCCGTCTTTCCGTAAACCCGCTGTTCGATGTGCTGCTGGGTCAGTAGCACAGCCAAGTGTATCACAAAGACTCACCTCCCATTTGTTTCCCAAAAACGGGGTACCCTTTTCAGGGTTCCATTACAAGGATTACAGCATTTTGGGGTGAATAAGGGGTACCCTACTTTCGGAAAATAGACAGTCAACGTCCAGTCCTCCTGATGTCTGACTGCCGGAAGAGGAAGACCTTGGTTGCTTCGCATTCCAAAAGATCCTTATAAGGGTCGGTACATGGCCGCTGCGGGGATGAAACCCTAAACCCTAAAACCAAAACCCTAAACCCTAAACCCTAAACCCTAAACCCTAAACCCTAAACCCTGATCATCCATCATGGCTTTGGGGTTTCATGGTGCCCCCTCGCGCCACCCGACCATCCAATGGCGAAGCCTTGAAAGCGAAAACTCAAGAGAAAGGAACCCCTTCAGATCTACCAAAAACCCCTTACTTAATTAAGAGATATACCCCACTGTATACTGAAGGTCCTTATTCTGAATTAGAGTATCTTCCTTAATTAAGGGGTTTTGGAAGATCTGGGCCCTCAACTCCATCTTTCGTGTGAAGATGTGGGGCCCTGAGCACTATAAGCTCTATGCACCCTCTCCAAACCCGGAGATGGGCATGTTCGTGGCAGAAAGCCACCCTCCTGCTCGTATCATCCCCTGATCCCTAAACCCTAAACCCTCAACCCTCAACCCTCAACCCTAAACCCTAAACCCTAAACCCTAAACCCTAACCCTAAACCCTAAACCCTAAACCCTTGACGAGAATACCTTAAACAAACGAATGTTTACAACAGTATACATTGATTGGTACGTTAGCCCTACTGTTAACAGTCCTTAAAAGGGATGATAATAGGGGGCACTGTAATCCCGATTAAGGACTGTTAGTATAAGGGGGAACATCCCAGAGTATACACCCAATACCTGCTCGTGTGTCGGACCAGTAGCACTCACGGGGCCACACTGGCCACACTCACAGATCTATCGAAGCAGTAGAGCCTACCAGCCGAGCATCAACAAGAGCACAGGAAAAATCCTGTGCGTGGGTCCACCTTGGTACTAGGATGGCCCTTAACACCCTCTAAAACATATTCCTAAATATGAGCCTCTTAAACCCAATAAGCGAAAATATGAAATATCCAATTGGGGTGATATAGGAAATATACTACCCAAAGGTTAAAGGATACCACCCTAAACCCTAAACCCTAAACCCTACTAGGTAGGGTTATGAGAAAGGCTCCGAGGCACGTGTCAAGGGTTTGTGCAAGACTCGCCCGGCTTTCGTTGATCAAAGCAAGGCTGGGACCTGCTTAGGGTTTAGGGTTTAGGGTTTAGGGCTTAGGGCTTAGGGTTTAGGGTTTAGGGTTTAGAGTTTAGAGCTTAGGCCTTAGGGTCTAGGGCTAGTCCTACACTCCGACTCGAACAGTACGACGGTGGCGCTGCTACCAGACAGCATCTTTCCCTCTGACAGCTCTCATCGAAGGCCACGCCATATGTATATATATATATATATGTATGGTACCCCCCCCCCCCCTATGCCTACACTTTTTCCTCTCAGGTGCTATGGTAGGGTTTAGAGGTTTAGGATTTCGAAGCCTCCTAGCGAGCACGAAAGCGCTCTACTGTACCAATGCTTTAGACCCAAAAGAGCAAAAACGCTGTAATACGCTGTACTGTCCCAAAAAAACCAATCTTTCTAAGCCAAAACAAGCAAAAATGCTGTACTGTCCAAAAATTTGAAAAAAAAAGTTTAGAGACCTTGGATGCCAAGTGGCCTGGAGGTCTATAAACTTTGTTTTTTTTTTGGGGACAGTACAGCATTTTTGCATTGTTTGCTTTAAAAACATTGGCTTTTTTTTTGGGGACAGTACAGCACTTTGGAGGCCTGGGACTGCAAAAACGCCGTACTGTCCCAACAAAAACCAATCTTTTTCAGGAAAAAAATGCAAAAATGCTCTACTGTCCCAAAAAAAACCAAAGTTTGGAGACCTCCAGGCCCTGGAGGCTCCCCAGCTCTCCGAACTTTGGTTTTTAGGTTTTTGGGACAGTACAGCATTTTTGCATTGTTTGCTTTAAAAGCATTGGCTTTTTGGGACAGTACAGCACTTTGAAGGCCTAGGACTGCAAAAACGCTGTACTGTCAAAAAAACCCATCTTTTTATGCCAAAAACAAAACTGCAAGAATGCGGTACTGTCCCAAAAAAACAAAGTTTGGAGACCTCCAGGCCCTGGAGGCTCCCCAGCTCTCCGAGCTTTGGTTTTTTAGGTTTTTTTGGGACAGTACAGCATTTTTGCACTTTTTTCTTTCATTAAAAACATTGGTTTTTTTGGGACAGTACAGCGTAAGATTGGTTGTTTTGGGACAGTACAGCACTTTGGAGGCCTGCATGTTGCACTCGGTTTAGTTGGAGGGGCCGCTATTAAGCGTTTTTCCCGAGAACTTATAGATGAGGGTGGCCCTCCATTATGCGAAGTGCGCGGGCCGGGGATGAAGGGCGCGGGCCGGTGAGCCAAAAACTGAAAACAGTTTGAATAAGAAACTCCGGAATTTTCTGGTGTCCGGCTTTATTTAAATCTAATTCCTTTTCGAATTTCATTACCAAACAGGCCCCCAAACAATTTTCCAAGGGAGTAGCCCACGAGCTGCCCTGATTCGCTTTTAGTAAATTGTTGTGGTTACCCGCATTAATCCGCAGCCCCCCCTGGCAAGGGAGCTAGAAAGCCTGGAAAGCTTAGACCCTCAAGTCAAAGCTTCCCCTCAACGCTCGACCCCTAGCCGCCCAACCCCCAGCCTCCGTCCCAGCCGATAGAGGATCCCCGAAAAACCCAAAATTGTTGGGGGGATGGGGGGGACCCCTGGATACCAAACCGAGTCCAACATTAATTCATAATCAGGACCCTTAATATATACTAGGGCATGTTCCTAAACTAAGGGGCTCTGGAATATCTGGGATTCCACTTGCCAGCTGAGCCAGTTTTCTGACCGACTGCAGATGGTGTGGCGCACATGTCCTCTAGAGACATCACCGTGGACGGGGCCATGCGAGCGGGCGGAGCCATACCCAAAGAGCCCAATATCCCTCAATTACGGAAGATTCCTTAAATCATATTAAGGATCCCTGTATGAATTAAGCACTATTCCCTAATTCTGGGATATTGGGCTCTCTGGGTACACACAAGAGTTGTGAATGAAGGGGGGCAGAGCGAGATTATGAGGCACGGATCCTGCCGGGCCACGCGTCTCATGAGATCAGAGAGGTCTACCCAAAGAGCCCAATATCCCTTAGTTAGAGAATATTGCTATATATATATATATAGAGAATATTGCTTAATATATATATATATATATATGTATATATGTATGTATTTCTATATATATATATATATATATATATATATATAGGGATCCTTAGTATGGTTTAGGGCATATTCCTGAACTCAGGGGCATTGGGCTCTTTGGGTATATATGGGATCCCTGCAACCTCCGCACACAAGCGTGGCTTCATCCCAGTCAAGACTGCTTGCCGACTTTGGTTTCATCCGGGCTCTTCGGGCTCTTTGAGGGCTCTTGGGGTTTAGGGTTTAGGGTTTAGGGTTTTTCTCTTTTGGCCACCCGCCCAGCACTCCTAGCGGGGGGGGTTTAGGGTTTAGGGTTTGGGGGCCCTCACCCCTAAGCCCAGTAGGGTTCTGCGATCGGACAACTTTTGCGGGGAAGCGGGGTAGGGGGACAAGTAGCCAGGAGCCAAAAACAACTCAACGGTCGGCTCGGCTCGTGCCCTGGGCTGCCCACAGAAAGAGCGCCGGTACCGGTGGCACACCTGATGTTGGGTTTAAGGTTTAGGGTTTAGGGTCTAGGGTCTAGGGTCTAGGGTTTAGGGTTTAGGGTTTAGGGTTTAGTCGCTCCTGCATAGCTTAGGGTTTAGGGTTTAGGGTTTAGGGTTTAGGGTTTAGGGTTTAGGGTTTAGGGTTTAGGGTTTAGGGTTTAGGGTTTAGGGTTTGAGGGTTTTCGTGGGCTTCTCGCCTTCTGTCTTGCTCTGTTTCTCCGTCTCTCGCTCTCTCTCACTCTCCCTCTCTTTTCTTGATCCCCCCTCGCACACTCTCTCTCCCTTTCTCTCTTCTTGATCATCCCTCTCTCGCTCTCTCTCACTCCGTGTGTCTCTCTCTCTCTCTCGCATGATCCTGCCTGTTCTCTCTCGGGTTGGGTCAAGATGCTACGATCAGCACAGCAAAGGCCGGTTTTTTTGTCTGCTGCCATTGGAAAATAGCTTCGGCGAAATGTGCTTCGGGGCATCAGTCGTCATCAGATGCTGCCTCTACCACGAAGGGATGTTGCAACAAGTCCGCTGCTCCAGCCCTCTGCGTGGGCTCACGCTGCAGACACCGCTGAGTGAAGTCGGCACAGCGCTTGGAGAAGGACGTCGGCAGGGGAGGCGTCTCGCTGGACATGCCGATCTTATACATGACAACCATGGCGTTGTCGACCTTCCCCCAAGGCAGTTGGGCTGCGCCCATCTCGATGATGACGCAGCCAAAGCTCCAAACGTCGGCCATCCTTCCATATCCGACATTCTTCACTACGACCTCGGGTGCCATCCACCGGATGGAGCCCTTCAGCGCAATCACATTGCTCGTCGGGCAGCCGAAGTCTGCCAATTTGGCGCAGAGCTCTCCGCCATCTGCGCTCTGCCCCATCAGGACATTCGCGCTCTTGATGTTTCCATGCAAGACTGGCGGGCTTCGCGTGTGCAAGTAGTCCTGGGCTTTTAAGTAACCAGGGAGCAAACAGTAATGGTTCCAAGAAAGAAGTATTGAAGTATGGTACTCCAAAGCCCAGAGTCCAGCCCTTCCAACACATCTCGGCCGTACCTGCTGATCAATCCCTCCTCGAAGGCACCGAACTGCTGCAGCACACTGGACATCGACCCACCGATCGCGTACTCCATGTAGATATAGAGGCTTCCAGCGATCCAGTCGTGGCCCAAATATGCGACAATGCTTGGATGCTTCAGAGCTGAGCAGATCTGAATCTCAGTCTCCAGCGCGTGCTTGAACTCAGCGTCTGATGTACCAATCAGCACCTCCCTGACCGCAAAGAGTGATCCGGTTTCCTGATCCAGGGCCCGGAGAACGTTTCCAAGGGTGCCGTGACCGATGCTTTCATCCCGTACCCATTTCTTGGTGCCCTGGGGTGGCGCAGGTGAGCTCATTCTTCCGAGCCACTGCTCAGAGAAGCTGAGCGCGGCGAGTTTGCCTCGCTTCCCATAGGTAAACGCAAAGCGCGAAGCTGCTTCCGTGGGAGGTGGCGGCTGCACATCATCATCCGACAGATCATCGTCGCCGAAGTACCGGCAAGGGGCCTTAGGTATAGGATACTATAATTATAAAAAGGAGCCCCCAAAACCCTATTCTGATTATTAAGGCCCCTACATTACTGGCAAACCAGTCCCAACTCCTCCAGAGGATCTTCCGGAAACAGGTCCCTCAGGTGCTCCAACGTGTGCTCCTCCCTTCTCTGTGGTATCGGAGGTGGAGGTGGCACAACCTCCTCGAACACCTCCGGCACGGCGGTCGGCAGGTCACCGAAGGCCTCTGCAGACGGAGCTGGTGGCCCAGGCGGCGGTTGTTGTTGGGGCGACACTGCAAGAGTACCTTGCCGTGACGACGAATTGGGTCTAGAAGACGAAGAAGAGGGCTCTGGCGGCGACTGCTGAAACGAGGCTTCCATGGTGCCTCCTCTAGTCGACGAGGACGACGAAGGCTTGATCTGTCCGGGCGTGTCTTGCGGCGATCCCGGAGAAGCAGTCAAAGTTTGACCGGGCGGTGCCTGCTTGTGAAGCGGCACGAAGGATGCCGCCATGGTGTCGCAGTGCAGCGAGATGAACAGGAACCAAATAACGGAATGCGTCTGACGAATTTGGGTGGGGTGAATGAGATTGTGCAGCTAAGCTTAAGGACAAACTGGCATGCATGCTTCAGCAGCTACGTGCGTACATGCCAGGATGACGAATGAAAAGCTTCTGTTGGTTTTCCGTGCTAGCCGCCTGACTACACACATCTGTCTGTGAAGAGTGTTTGGAGTTTAGGGTTTCAAAGCCCTAAACATCAAAAGCGCCATTACCGTTACACCCTTCCACCCCAGTACGCTCTAAAAACAATAAACTATCCCCGAGCCGGGAGTAGGATCTAAAGAACGGGCGTTTTGGAGCTTGCGGCTGTGCCCCCACCCCCCATCTTTTAAGCCTCTACTGTAATGTCGCCGTGCCAAAGGAGCCGAGAGGGAAGGGTTCGAATGGAGGAGCTTTGATAATTGGAATTCGGGGTTTTGAGGTATTCTGGTGTAGTCTCTTTGTTTGGTTTACGCCTACTGAGTGTAGCCCTTATAGGCTCGGGAGGCGGAAGCGGGTTTCTATGCGCGGCCTTTAAACAGGGGCCGACCTGCGCGATGTCTCGCGGAGGCCATTCATTTGTGCTAACCCTAAGCATCCATGTACCCTTTAGTATATACCTGGGCCTGAAAGGGGTGGCTCTACAGTAGCTGCAGGGTTCAAGTATACCCAAAGGCTCCTATGTAGTACCTTTTGGGGGTAGTATACTAGAATCCCCTATACCTAACCCAAAAAGGACATACATCGGAGCCTAGGGGTGTACTACATACATCGGTACATGGACCACGAGGGCTGAACAAATCCCAAAGGCCCTAAACCCACCCTAAACCCTAAACCCTAAACCCTAAACCCTAAACCCTAAACCCTGCAGGGCACCTGAGGGGACCGTCGAGGGCGCCGGCGTCGACGTTGCCGTGGGCTCTGCCTCGTCGTCGTCATCCTTGAAGTCCTGGCTACGGTTTAGGGTTTAGGGTTTAGGGTTTAGGGTTTAGGGTTTGGTCTTGATGGGGCAAAATGGAGGGTGTAGGGTTTATGTGGCTTAGGATTTGGGGTTTGGGGTTTGGGGCCTAAACCCTAAACCCTAAACCCTAAACCCTTAGGGTTTAGGGATACTTGAGGGGGACCCGGTTGAAGAGTTGTGGGTGTTAAATAGGTGTAGGTCGATCGATGCCCGAGTGGGGAAAAGCCTACAAGGACCTCACCGACTTCTGTCGAACGCTGCACTTCTTGTCAAGGCCCCCCTAAACCCTAAACCCTAAACCCTAAACCCTACACCCTAAACGCTAAACCCTAAACCTAAACCCTAAACCCTAAATTCATGGGAGCCCCCAGTCCTTGTCTTCGGAGTCCCACGCTTTCGGATCCGAATAAAGCCTCCAAGCTTCCAGGCCCTACAAAGCAGGGTTTCTGGTTGCTTGTCCCCCAAGGTTTAGGGTTTAGGGATTAGGGTTTAGGGTTTAGGGTTTAGGGTTTAGGGTCCATGTGCCAAAATAGTATATACGTGCGCCTTGAAGGGGGTTCCTGCATAGTAGCTTTAGGGTTCTGGGGGTTTACGAACAAGACGAGACCCTAGAATAGACCGCCAGATAGTATTTCCCGTATAAGGAGGACTCCAATAAGGTATACCTAATTTCGGAAACCACCATATGCCATATACTGTATAAGTACATGGAATCGTCGAGTTTTGTGCTGTAGGAGTTTTGGGGTTTTTAAGTCTCCGGGATAATTCTGCCAGGGCTTGTGTGGCCTGTCAGGGGCAAGCTAGGATCGTGGAGCGGAGTGCGCGCGACGACCCAAGTGGAAAGTGGTAGCGTGTGGAATTTTCATGAAGTGAGGCTGATGGCTTAGGGCATGCTTCTAGAGGCGGATGTGCGAAATTTGCTAAAACGATACCCTTAATGTCAAGAGAAATAGAGAGAGAGAGAGAGAGAGAATATTTAGGGGTAACCCTAAACCCTAAACCCTAAACCCTGAACCCTAAACCCTAAACCCTAAACCCGAACCCTAGACCCTGAACCCTAAACCCTGGTATCACCTGTCCCAAAGCTGCGCAACAGGTGTAAGCGCCCGGGCTTCGCAGGATTCAGATCGTAGCGCTGGCACACCTTCCAAGAGCACTCAGGCCGTACTAGTACTAGTCCTAAACCCTAAACCCTAAACCCGGTTACCTAGGTTCACTCTCCCAATCCTCCTGAGGCACGATTCCGTGACCCTGCACTGCCTTCTTGTACAGGTGCATCTCCTTGCCCTTGTGTTTCCTGCATAGGGTTTAATTTGGGTTTGGAGGTTTCGGGTTTAGGGTTGAGGGTTTAGGACGGTTCCTTGTGCTTGCTGCTGGTCATAATGGAATTGAAGGCGGAGCAATAATTGTAGAGTAAAGCAAATGATACAGCTCAACAGTAAGTACAGAACAGACAGCCTTTCCCATGCTCAGGCCCCTGCTTGGTAATGTTGACTTGGGCATTTATACATCCCCCCCCCATCAAACAAAAGAAAAGAAGTCCCACAACCCAATTAAAGATCCCCCTCAATGGAGAGAAAACAACTTCCAGGAAAAAACTATGACGAAAAGAGGCCATGTGCAAACTGATTTGTGCTTCATCAGAGAGATTCCGAATGCAGCTGCTGACCACTGCTTGGACTGAAACTAGTTCATAGTTGGGATAGCATTAAAAACCTACATTTCCTTAGTGTTTAAGTACCCTTAAAAGATGTAAAACGTTGTCCCAAAGAAAAGAGAGGCAGGTCCAAGCGCGTGCAAAGAGAACTTGCTCGAAGCGGCCAGCGCTCAGCCCTTTAAACAGCGATCAACAATGCAGCCCCTTTGAACCCCAAACCCTAAACCCCAAACCCTCTGCAGATCTATGTGCTGACAACCGAGCCGAGCTGCTCAAGCAGACCGGGAATATCTGAGAGCCTCGGTCACCACCAGAGACAATCCTTTTAGGGTTTAGGGTTTAGGGTTTAGGGTTTAGGGTTTGGGGTTTGGGGTTTAGGGTTTAGGGTTTGGGGCGATCCGGTTTCCAGGTACACACAAACATTGTCTAGGATGGCCCTTAAACCCTCTGAAAAATAGTTCTGAATATGATACTCTTAAAACCAATAAGGGAGATTTAGGGTTTGGGGTTTAGGGTTTCGTGTTTAGGGTTTCCCAAAAATCCTACCAAGTTGTCAAGGAATGTTGGGAAGAGGCAGACAGGCACGGCCTAGAGTAGTGCCGCCAAGTGGCTTGCGCGGATTCCGTCGCCGGTACACAGCTTCAATCTTGCACAGGGCATGAACCCCAAGATTCCATGTACCTATATGGGCATTTCCCAAAATAGGGGTACCCCTTTTATAGCCCACATAGAATAGGAAAAAGGGTACCCCCTACTTCCGGAAAACCTCATATCGTATGTACTTGAACCCTAAAGCAACTCCTGCGAACCCTTTTAAGGCCCAAGTATATACTACATAGGAACATGGACCCTTAGGGAAAGCTTCTGATTAGGGGTTTTTCGGGTTCCCAGGGTTATAGGTTTTTTTGGTTATTATCGGGTTTATAGGGTTTCGAGTGTTTGGAGGGTGCTTAGGGCGAAAAGGGCTTCTAGAATCTTAAGGATTTATAGGGTTTATAGGCCTTGTAAGGTTTAGAGGGTTTAGAAGGTTGAGGGCTTGCTGGCACTTCATTCGCCGTAGGGCAGGGGAAGACACTTGGCAACCCCGAAACCTGAAGCCCTAAAGCCTAAACCGCTTCCACTACCACGACAGATGCCTGCACGCGCCAGAAGTCTTCGCTCGTTTCCACCTTCGCAGGCCGCAACCAGAGACTTGCTGTATGTTTTAGATGGGGCCCGGACCCTAAACCCTAAACCCTAAACCCTAAACCTTAAACCCTAGACCCTAGACCCTGAACCCTGCAAGCAGTTACAGGCAAGTACAAGCATTCCACCTTGGTCACTTCTTCGCCGGCTGCCTCTTTGGCCTCTATACAGCAACGGAGAAGACACATAAAACTTGAAGTTGGGGAGGAGGGGGGTGGGGGAAGGAGGGGGGAGGGGCGGCCATTTTCAAGAGCTGGCAGCGGTTTCGGGTTTAGGGTTTAGGGCTTAGGGTTTAGGGTTGCCTGTCCGGACCTCTCAGGCAAGAATGCAGCTGCATGCTAGCTACACCCGCTAGCGCTGTCCTAGTACCTGCATCCAATCCAAGCTGCTGCCAAAGCCTCGTCCCCAATGGAACAAACACGACCAAGCCCCGCCTAACAACCTGGTTCTTCGCACTGGAGGCCGCAATGTAGGCGCAACAAAAATTAGAATTGGGTTTTGGGGGTTGGTATAGAATGATGATAGAGGGGCCATAGGGGAATATGATTAGTCTAATTAGCCCGACCCCGACGTTAATGTCCGAACTGTCTCACAGTCTCACAGACGAGCAGGTGCTTCACACTGCCCGCCCCACCCTCCCAAACATCGACAAGCACCAAGGGGGCGACCTCCTTGGCCGAAGCCTGGGCAGAGGGTTTAGGGTTTAGGGTTTAGGGTTTAAGTTTAGGGCTTCTATCAGCGATCCCTGAGTCCAGCAATGCTGCGTTGCTGGGGCCCAAGTATACAAACACTACCTAGTTTCCCTAAGGGTCCATGTACCTATATAGAAAATGCTTGGGCCTTAAAGGGGTTCCTATATAGTAGCTTTAGGGCCCAAGTATATACTATGTAGGTACATGGACCCTTAGGGTTTCGGGTCAAAAGTCTGCCAAAGAATGGCTAAACCCTGAGTCCTAGCTCCTTCTAGCCCAGGACTGCTGACGCCCAAATCCCTAAGACCCTAAAACCGAAACCCTAAAACTTCATAGGGCTCAGCTTCGTCAAGCAAGCACGCGAAACGCTTATGTGGGTCGAGGGTATCGGGGAACGCTTGCGTCTCCCCAGCGCCTGCTGCTTTGGCGCTGACTTCGTCGCCGGCTTCAGCGAGCCTGCGCTTGTCCCGTGGCACC